GACAGAGATTTGTCCTGACTGTGGGCAAGGCAGGAAAACTCTAGCAACATATGGGTTTCTTCTTTATTTGATTGTTTCTTCAGCTATACAGAGCTTTTTAGTTTTATGAGGTTCTTGTCAATTTTTGCTTTAATTCTTTCCAATGGAATCACATTCAGAAAGCCCTTTCCTACACTTGTATATTGTGGTATACTGCCTATGTTTTCTCTGGTACTTAGAGTGTTTCAGGACTCAAATTAACATCTTTGTTCCACTTGAATCTCATCTTTGTGCAGGGTGATAGATATGGGTCAAACTTCATTCTTCTGCATGTGGGTATACAGTTTTCCCACTACCATTAGTATGGATGTTGCTTTTTCTTCAATGTATGTTTGTTTGCCTATTTGTCAAATATCAGATTATTGTAGCTATGGGCATTCATATTTGGGCCCTCTCTTTTATTCCATCGATCTACATGTCTGTTTTTGTTACCAGTGCCATATTGCTTTATTCATATAGATCTATAATGTACCTCATAGTTCAGAACAGCAATTCCTCAATGTTTTTCTTTTTGCTTGGCATTACTCTGGCTATCTGGTGTGTTTTCTTGTTCCAAGGGAGTTTTAGAATTGTTCTTCTCCATCTGTGAAGACTTTTGTGGGTGTTTTGATTAGGACTTCATTGAATCTGTAAATTGCTTTTGGTAAGGTGGTCATTTTCACAATATTAATTCTAGTGATCCATGAACATGGATGTCTTTTCATTTTCTAGAGTCATTTTTTTCTTTCTTCAGAGATTTTAAATTTTCATGCAGAGGTTTTTTCATGTCCTTAATTAGGTTAATTCTAAGCTATTTTATTGTCTTTGGTGCTTTGCAGATGGGAGTATGCTCATGATCTCTTTCTCAATATGCTTGGTTTTGGTGTACAGAAAAGCTGCTGTATTTTAAAGTTACCATTTTGCAACTTTAAATTGCTGAAAATGTTAATTGTTTGCAGGGTGTTCTGGTGGGATTTTTTCGGATCTCTTATGTATAATGTCTGCAAATAGGGGAAGTTAGACTTTTTAGTTTCCTATTTGTATACCTTTAGCTTTCTTATTTTGCTCTAGCTAGTGCTTCCAGCATTCTATTGAAAACGGTGGGATGGTGGAAAGTCCTGTCTCACTCCTGATTTTAAATGGATTGCTTCAAGTTTTTTTTTTTTTTTAAATGGATGATTTTGGCTGTGTTTTTGTCATATTTTTTAAGTTAAGATATGGTTCCTCCAATCCTCCAATCTAAAACTTTTATCATGAAATCATGTTTGATTTTGTCCAAGACCTTTTC